ATTACTAGCACTAGTTTGATAAAGAGATTTGTTCCTTAAGGAAGACGAAGTCGTAGAAACGTTAACCGAATAAATCTCTTTATCAATCTCATGACAACATCTTGTAAGTACATTAGTGTAATGAAATATTGACTACTCAAGCTAGGGTTAAATAAAAGCCGATTTTTGAAGATGGGTTAACCTGCACTACGCATAATTGTTTTTCTGTAAAAAAAGAACATTTTAAAACCTAGTATTTCCACAAAGATTACTTTTTATTTGCTGCCTACTACAATTTTTCACAACAGGGTATTATGCAAAATACAACCACAACGATGCTAAGATACAATCTTAACTCTTTTATTTACTGCCTTTTTCTTCCTTATGGCAGGGTATGTTGTGAAATATAACTCGTATGAAGCGCTGAGATATTTGCAAAACTCCGGACCACAGGTGTATGCAGTGGGGAACGAACACGCGCTGTTGTCCTTACCGGGGAGCAGCGCGGGTCAGACCCGGATGGTGTAGTGGTGAAGTGCGCTGCTCCGCGGTAAGGACAACAGCGCGTGTTCGTTCCCCACTGCATACACCTGTGGTCTGGAGATTTTGCAAATATCTCAGCACTTCATACGATGCTAAGATATTTGTATAACACCGGGCCGCAAGTGTCTGCGGTCGGGAACGAACGCTTTGCTACCTTCTTCGTGGCTAACACATTCACCACCACACCATGTGGGTCCTTCTCTTCGTTTGTCTCTCAACTAGTCACTGCCATCAGAAATCACCCGTCAACGAAATTGATATGGGAGCATTGAACCCGTTTAAACCGAGGCGGTGGTTAAAGTCACAATTTATACTTCTTATTTGTTGCCTACTACAGTTTTTCACGGCTATTTTCAGATAACCACTTGAAAGTGGATGATAAGTCGGTTTTGTCAAGGAATTCGTTTTCATAATTAGCAAAAACGACATAAACGAATTGAAAATGCAGTACGAAATTCTTGTAAAGTATTTGACGAAGCTTCTTTTATCACAGCAACTTTTGCACCTTGTTTCATCATTCTTTCAGATGGCTCTTTGCTCTAACACAAATTCGTTATCAATATTGTTTTCGACATGATGACATCGTCCTTAAAGTTGTTACCGAGCGACGATCGACAAAATATCTGACAATATAGGGAATTCACCTGATACCACATTCGTTCTCTTGTTAATTTTCCATCGGCTCCCTGAAGTTTCTTGACCACAACCATCATTTTTTCCTCAGCCGGTAGAAGAAACTCAACGCTTCGTCGATAGATAGCAAAGCAATCCGGATCGAAGTCGAAATCCTCTTCCGGATTCTTAATTCATCTTTTGTAATCTATAATAAAGTAAACGGTAGTAGAAAAATACGTGGAGAAGTGTAAAAATCAACCCCGCACACATTATAGGAACTCGTCGAATTTTTCAAGCGAGTAGTGAGTGGAGTATTCAGACGATGATGTTTCCTTTAACATTCTCGCGAAGAAGCATACTTTCAGTATTCTGCCAGAGTGGACAACGCCAAATTTTTCGCCATGCTTACTATGAAACCTATGTGGGTCATACAAGCCAGTCCGGTAGTTCTTATTTGCTTTCGCCTTTTTTATTGCGATTTCCCTTCCATAAATCGGTTTTTCCAACGTCTTTAAAGAATTTCTGCGCTTACCTTGTCCTATGTATGCTACATGTTCTTATATACACTGTGTCATAATTTTGAGTGCATATACAACCCTTGTTGTTATGAGAAAAAGAACACTTTTCTCACTAGGCATTTATACTGCTGTCAGAATCAAACGAATTTGCATAAGTGTGCGAAGAACATTATGATGTATGCCTCGTGGTTTTGATACCCTTCATTCCGTATAATGCCAAAGAGTCATCCTAGAGGTTGAAAATGAGATAACGGCGGGCTGCTTTGAGGCTTGTTCTTCGATAACATTGGACAGTTTTCGATGGTTGATGTATTTTAGAAAATACAACTTTAGCAGACTTATGGAAGAAACTTTACACCAGGCTTGTCACCTTATTCCGCTGGTTACCCTCCTTAAGTTATACCAATGTGAGTAACTTCTCTTCTCCACGATTTCATCCACTTTTTCCCCACAGCCCCTTCTAACAGGATTTTACAGCCCTAAATCCGAGAGAATGCGAAGCAAGCAGGCAAGCACTACGCACAGCTAGTGCGACAAATATTTCTCTTCGGATGGTCCCAATAACGCTCACATGAAGTGAAAATACGGAGTGATTTTAATGGTTTCAAATGGAAAGTTAACCGTGTAATGGTAATTATTGAGAATTGTAGTGATTGCAAATTATATTTAAAAAGTGTTAATTCTTAAGGCATCAGGTTGCAAGGAGAGTAATTCGCGAATAAAACGTATTATTGGTAAACGGTACTCTGAAGATGTTCCTTCAATAATTAATCACCACAACATAGCGAAAAGCCACTAAGTGCAGAATTCCAATGTTCAAGTACACCAATTGCGTCTGTGTTCTCTTCTGAAAGGAAACTGTCTCTGTGAATTACACTCTGTTCAAAAGAAGCAGTCTCTAATCTACCAAACGAACTCGTCCAAAAGAACTTTTCTGTTAAATTTAAGTAAGAAATTATTAAGAGGACACCCTCCCATGGTCGACGCCTTTTAAATAGTCTGCAAAGGAAAAACTATCGTTTGATTACAAAATGTATAGGAATGCGGTTCTATGCATTAAAACAAACTACCGGAAAGAAAATGAAGCATATGAGGATCATACCGCCCACCCACACATCTTCGGAATGACTCCCATGGATGTCAGCTGGAACGAGTGTGTTAAATAGTTTTCCTCTAAACGTGACTCTCATAGGAAAAAAATTCGTGCTGTGAAATTGTCTTAACTGTTCTTCGCTGCCTTTCCCTTGACTTTCATGGCAGAGTACTATGTGAACTATAACTACAAGCATGCTGAGATATAAACAATATTCAGAGCTTCAGCTGGGCTTCAAATACAAAGCTAACCCTTCAGGTGTTCACGTGTTATCTATCACACCAGTCGTGCGCTCCGTATTTTTTTTAGCTAAAAGCACCGGTAGAAGTAATCCCGAGCGCAAAACCCACCTGAGGTTCCGAATTTCGCTCGCACTTTACAGCTCTTGTGGTTATGTTATAAAAAAATCCTTTTAAAAGAAGCAGTGGTTAGGTATTCTTTAAATTATAATCATTGTTGAGTAAATTATTTGAAGTTTAATAGTACAAACCCTTTGGTTAACCCTCTCAATGTAAATGATGGACAGCGATAAGCAGGTTGAAGTTATAAAGTAAAAAGATGCTTGATAACGACTAAGGAATAAATTGGAGATGAATACTTCCTCACATAATATTTTTTAAGGACAGCTCGAGTCAGAACTTCTGCGATGTCATCATTCACTGCATAGAGTGGTGCAATGACGATCCGTCGAACGAAATCACCTTCAATACGTCATTCCTCAAAAAAAGCACACATCGATCAAATAGGATTCTAAAAATTTTTTTGGCTTTCTTTGCCTTGTCTCACTGTATTATATAGCCTCCAGCTCTGTTTGAAAAGAGCGAAATTAAGAAAGGGGCGTTACGGGGAAATAAATGACTAAAATATCGAAAAATGTCGCCTAGGTTTTCAAACAAAACTCCAATATAGGCGTTCACCTGCTAACTCTCTTGACGTGCCGAATCCAACGCAGTTGTTCTGAAAAGCACGATTTCATCGATTACATTGTCTCTTCTTTAAGAACAGGTATTTAAAAAAGAAGTTGGACTACGCGAATAAGTATCAGTAAAGGGATGTTGAGGGAACTCCAGAATTACTTCACAGAAGCAACAACGTCTTTAACAGGCTGTATATTTTTAGTTAATAAAAATTCAATGATATCCTTAGAATTTCGGTCGAGTACTAGCTATTTTTGTACGACACATCGTATTGATAATGTGGAATCCATGAATTACATCTACTCTATCAACATTTGAAAATGTCCTTCGCTTATGATTCGGCTTCGAAATAAATCACGGGATATCAATGATAGTTTTTCTCCATTGTTTAGAAAACTAAGAAGTCTTTTAAAAGACTTCTGGAAATCATTTCTTCTTTCACGAATAGTAGTTCATTCATTCTGGCCTCTCCATCTCTACACTACGATTATTTAATACAGCCGGTTGATGAACTTCACCTTTCTATCAAAGACAGCAGCCGTCTTCGACTCCTCGAGATTCAGCATGTCACGAATGGGCCGCTCTTCACCACTGACGTTCGCATCAAAAGTCATGACAGCGGCCCATTCTGATTCACTGAGGTCTTCGCCAAGAATGGCTCTATAGTCTTCTAAGCTTTCCTAAACGTGTAAGACATGAAGAATAGTGTTAAGAAATCTTATACTACGGTAAAATCTACTCACATTGTCGAAAGAAACTTTTGTGAAACTGTTTTCAGTTTTCCTTTCTTTTTCAGCTAATCTTGGAAAGACATTTTGAAACTGATGATAGTTATAAGGATGTTAAGATTTTAACAAAACTCGGAACTCGTATATAATGCTGAGATATGTGCAAAGCTCCGGACCGCAGGTGAATACGGTGAAGAACGAACGCGCGCTATTGTCCTCACCGGGGAGTAGCGCACTTCACCACCATACCATCTGGGTCCTTCGTTATGCCTGTCTCTCAGCTAGTTCTATCGATCTTTTGCCATCAGTAATCACCCGTCAACGGGATTGATCTGGGGAGCCCAAATCGGCATTGAACCCGGTTAAGCTGAGGCTTAGTTATAATCACAATCTTAACTGCCACGACCGACTTTCTATTAACCTCGGCATTGATCAAGTGATTTTGTTCGTATTTTTGTTGAGCAAACGCGAGGTGTTATTATTCTTTGTTCACGATTAAGCTGACGTTTCGGCGAATTTCGCCTTCTTCAGAATTTCGCCTTTCGCCTAACCAGTTACTTGGTGGAAACCTCATAGAAAGCGGCTCTGAAGAAGGCGAAATTCGCCGAAACGTCAGCTTAATCGTGAACAAAAAATAATAACATCTCGCGTTTGCTCAACAAAAATACGAACAATCTTAACTCTTTTATTTACTGCCTTTTTTAATAGCAGGGTATGTTGCGAAATATAACTCGTATATAATGCTGAGATATTTGCAAAAGATAGATCGATAAAACTAGCTGAGAGACAGGCAAAACGAAGGACCCGGATGGTGTGGTGGTGAAGTGCGCTACTCGCCGGTAGTCCAGGACAATAGCGCGCTTCGTTTCCCACCGCATACACCTGATGTCCGGAGTTTTGCAAATATCTCATTATATACGAGTTATATTTCGCAACATACGCTGCCATTAAAAAGAAAAAGGCAGCAAATAAAAGAGTTAAAACTCGGAACCTCACATGGGTTTCGAACTCCGATAACCTTTACCGAGGGCTCATGTGCTATCAACAACACTAGTCAAGGTCCACGCTTTGCCCTTCTCTTAGCCAATTTTCTATCCTCTCGGTATTACCACCAACTCTCCGATAACAAGAATGACATAGGAAGCACCAATCGGCATGGAACTTAGTAAATCTGAAGCTGAAGTCAAAATCACAGCGGTTTAACATAACATCGAAGTGAGTCCACCTGAATGTACGAGTTTTGCTCATATATAAGTTTTGGTTGTATTTCACATCCTGCCCTGCCATGAGGAAAGAATAGGCAGTAAATAAAAGTGACACCACTGCAGACAATTATTTAGAGTGAATGCCGATTTCTCGGAAAAATAACTGTGAATCTCAAAGTATAACATAATAACTTGCAGTGTTATGGAAGACTTGAAACACTAAAAACGAAACAAAAAGCACCTTCAGATCCGGAAAACCACTGGCACAGTCGAGTTTCACATGATTAAAACAACGGCCATATCGTGCCGTAAGTCCAAAGTTTGGAATTGTTGGAAGAAGGTGATGCACTACAAGAAATCTTACAACTAACAACAATCTTTATGGGAAATCTGTTTAAATTGCTTAATTAAATTTAAAGACACAAGATTTTTATCTCAATTCTTCACCATCACTTATTAGCGAATGCTTTACCAACTTCGAAAATTGTATAGCGTAGAAAATCCTTTTTATAAGAACTCAAGCCTCCTCAATAGAAAAAAAACGATTTTTTAAATTTCATTTATTAGTGATGAAAAATTTGAATGTAAGAAAAGTTTCATTGCTTCATTTCATTGTTTCATTGTAAGTTTCATTGCTTACTTGCTTGAAAAGTTGCGATAACGCCTTTTGAAATTTCTCTAAACAACTTCGATCCGATTCCAGAGTGACGGTATTCTTCCTTGACAAAGTATGTGCCAATTTGGGTGTATTCCTTTTTTTTAATAGCCAACACTCCGCCCATCACGTCATTTTCTGAATATTAAATTCACGAGACTAAGCTTTATATATCATCACAAAGTAACAACGGTAAAATCCTTATTCATCCGTACTGTGTTCTTGAGCAACTTGGTGAATTCATTTCGCTGAAGAGAGGTAGAGGGCAGCATGGATTTCATACAAGGCTCTACTAGTCTGATTCCAACCTGATAGTTTCCAGTATCGACTTTCTATTAGCCTCGGCATTGGAATATGAATGAGTCGTTTTCTTGTTCAGCAATCGCGAGGTTTTTAAACAGCATACATTTACTTCCATACAATAACACACATACAACACTACCGTAGTTGACATTTCGGCAGAATCGCCTTATTCAAAGCCGCTTTTTCGTGACTTCTAATGAGGAGGTTTGGAACAGCTGATTATAGTCGCATGCGGTTGACGACTGCCACTGACTGACTAAACTTGCTCATTGGAAGTCATGAAAAAGCGGCTCTGAAGAAGGCGATACTGCCGAAACGTCAGCTAGCGTTGTATTGTATTGTTTTTTTTATGGAAGTAAATGTATGCTGTTTAAAAACCTCGCGACTGCTGAACAAGAAAACGGCACATTCATATTCCAAACTGATAGTCATCATGTTTGCCTCAATGGTCTCTGTGACCTCTCGCTTGGCATAAACTCGTTTATAACTTGTTTTCTGACAAAATGCGTTGCCAAATTCATAGTTTGAGGGAGCTCGTTGTGATGAGACACCAGTCCATTTAAACAGCTAGGAACATCTCCCAGGAATAAGCTGATAACAGTTATAATGGAGAGAGGAAAGTGAGGGTATACGTGCATTTGTGATTCTTTGAGAAATATATGTCCAACATATTCGTAATTATAGGTTTGCGGTCAATATACGCGCCTTGCGCGCTTGTGGCGCAGTGGTCGGCGGCACCCTGCAACACACACCTGGAATCGATCTCCATGCCCATGCCTCACCAAGCCTCCCATCCCTCCGGAGTCAGCAAATTGGTACCAGACTTGTCTGGGAAGACAATAGCACCGGCTGGATACATCGGTTGACCACCACGAGTCATTGTAAAGGCTGCATAACTAATCACTATCCTCCGACGCTGCCTAATGAAGTTAGATGTATGCCGCATATCCCCAGAGATTGATCAACGCCGATACGCACTATTCTATTCACAGATTTGGTACTGCTTTACTATCAATGTATAAAGAACTTTTTAAGAAACTCTAGAGAAAGTAGCTTACTCAAGTTTTTCGCAATCAATATTCGAACGTTTCCTTCACCATACGATTTTTCCCAGACTTTCAGGTAATCGTAGTTCATCATGTACTTGTCTTGCTCAAATGATAAAGCCACCAACTAAAAAATCTGTATCCATCCGAGCACTGCAGATTTTAGCCACAGGATTTCACCTTATCAAAGTCACTTTTGTTTCCTTCATGAAATCTATACCAAAATCCATGCTTTGAATATGCTCCTTTCCACGGATCTCCAACCAACTTTGGCAACGAGGTCTGGAAACCCTGAAAGAAGAAATCACTGTGTATATCTACACATCAGAATTTTTCTCCAGTTATTTACCAGGATTGCTAGTGACCATTATGAGATATTGAATAACGTTTGTAGCGCAGTGTTTAGAGGCACCCTAACAAGCACATGGGTTCGATGTTGCGCCGCAGGCTCACCAAGCCCTCTAACCCTCTGCGGTCGGCAAATTGGTACTATTGTTGTCTAGGAGGATAGCAGAACTAGCTTGATGCATCGCTTGGCCACCGCTACTCACTGCATAAGGCGGATTTGCACTAAGTCACCTCTAACGATACTAAATGAAGTCGAATGCACGGCGCATCACTTAACGATTGAACAACGCCGAGAAATTTGCCCTTCACCCTTTTTGTATACAATGCCGAGTTTAGTTCGCCTACAAAAGGGTTAAAAGTTCAAATTTTAGCAATGCTTCGTCTTTTGCAACCAATTTTACTACGATACCCGGAAAAGAACGAAAATCGAATCTGCAAAATTTAATTTTACAGGGTTGAACTATCGTGTATTTAGTATGTTTATCAAATCGTTTTAAATTAAACATAAAAGAGCCTGACCATTGGAGTCACAAACGATTGAAAAACTCGAAAAATTTTAGCATGCTTCCACACCACAGTGTCACTCATTCCTTTCCTGAACTACATGAGTACGGCAATCAATTTTTTTTAATACTTGGCTATGCAAGCAAATAATTCAAAAGTTTTCTCTGTTGGAAATGCAAAAGTCTCATTGTTCAATTTTTTGTTTCTTTCTTCTTTAACTTTCAGCCGATCCCACACCACAGATACTGCGCGGATTCTAGCCTCCTTTTTCACATTCCCCTCCACACGCCCGTCATCAACGATCGTTTACGGATCCGTTTCGGTGCTCACCTGCTGCTTTTTAATTTTCCGCTCATTTTATGGATTTCGTTGAATTCTGAACGAGCAATCTTCCTTGGATATACCTAGGTTTCGCGGAGCGAAGTCACCTTCCTACTAAAGTGTACTATTAGAGGAGCATTGTCTGCGCCCGTTATAGTCTAGTACAAGCATACAAGGAAGGGAGCGACCAGCGCACTGGTAGTGTCGTCATTCAATATTTAAAGGGCCTGATTCGCTTTAGCGCTAAGCCAGCCAAACAGCCATTACGCCTATGGTCGCAAAATTGGTACCATTGTATGGAAAACTGATTTCGAAAAGCAGAATTTTTGACGACCTAAAATGATTATACCATGATAAGCTTAGACATAGGGAGAATCTTCTCCGCAGCTATTCCAGACTTTCATAAATTAAATCAAAAAATCTCCAAGCAGCAGCCGAATTAACAAGCCGGCCCGAGAATTGATGGATCTGATTGATGGAAAGAGAGGAATAGGATAGAAGAAATGCTGAGATTCGCTACTAGATTACTACTACTACTAGGCCTTCACTTGCTTACTCACTTACTTCGATAGCTACTTTTAGTTGGCCCACCTTCACTAGTTGCGTGGAACCCAGCATAATTTCCATTCTCCGGAGATGTTTCTAGTTTAGCTATTATTATTTCATGGAATTTCGTGGTCAGCATACCAAAAGCCTTCCTCAGGCCGCCACTACGGAAAGAAGTTGCTTTCCTTGTGGACCAGCAGAAATTTGGCCACCATTCGACTAATTTCGTTCTAGAACGGTGGTGAATCCTGACATTGGTTTATTCTTAATTGGGTTTTCAGATGGAAGTTTTTGGGAAACTTTGTTGGTAGGATGAACTTCCGCTTTACAACGCAGCCCGACACCCAGAAACACATACCAGTAACGTATAAGGCGTATACCATTGCAAGAACTGGTAGACTTTAGTTATTCAAAACACAACAGTCATGACAAAGACTATAAACTCGATAGATATAAACGGCATGCTCGGTGGTATTACCCTACTTCGGTCTATCATATAGCAACATTGCTGTCACTACATGAACGTGCTTTGCAATTTACACTGTAACCTTTTAGAACGTTTCATATTCGCCTACATCATAAGAGAATTATGCGTCATTGCGATTGAAAATGAAACAACACTAAACCACTAGTCAAACTAAAACTCGATAAAAAATGGTTTTATGCATATGAAGTACTTACTTAAGTGTAAGCAATACCTTTCCATGCATAAGGGCAGCGGTAACACCTGTGGTAGATAAGACAATGATCGATTACTATAACCTCTAATAGTTCCCAGGATCGACTTTCTATTAACCTCGGCATTGGAATATGAATGTGTCGTTTTCTTGTTCAGCAATCGCGAGGTTTTTAAACAGCATACATTTACTTCCATAAAAAAACACAATACAATACAACGCTAGCTGACGTTTCGGCAGTATTGCCTTCTTCAGAACCTGGAAGGGTATACTGATATACAATCTACTAGGCCAAACGCATCAATAACACTTACAAAAAGACGAAAGACTCTTTGGTAATTACATGATCAACAACTTCTCGAGAAAATCCACCGCTTTTTCGTGACTTCCAATGAGGAAGTTTAGAATAGCTGATTATAGTCGCATCTGGTTCTGTGTGTTTAAAAACCTCGCGATTGCTAAACAAGAAAATGACACACTATAACCTGTATCACCTGTAGTCCGGTCGATCGTCGAGTGACTCGATTGGATGCCAGTAAATCTTCCATTTCTCCCTGTGGCGTGCAAGAGTAGCCCAGTGGGTTCTGCTAGCTCTAAGGACCCGTTGAGCACCGTATTTTTCTTCTAGGGTTTTCGTGAAGAACTCTGACCATCGCGTTGGT